TAATTTACGCAGTATTGTAGTGATATCAGGACGTAATTCTGGATCACCATTCCAAGCACTACGATAAAGGTTTACATAATCGCTCGGTGTTCCATCAATTGGTAGTACTCGTTCACCACGTACCACATACTGAATTATTTCGATTACATGTTTTCCTTTTAACGGTGATTTTCCGCTTGATATTTCCCAGAAGAGCATGCCAAGGCTGTAAATGTCGCAAGGTTTACCTCGCTTATTTTTTGGATATTGGAGATATTCTGGAGCTAAATAAGCGTAACGTCCCGCACTTATAGGAGACGTATCATCTCCTAACTGCTTCGATAACCCAAAATCAGTAATCATCAATCTACCATCTGAATTCACCAATATGTTCTTATCATGCTATTTTATAGGTCAAATTTGTATTAATGTGCATATAGTGTAAGATGGCAAAAGAATAAAATAAATTAAATCAAATATTCTTACAAGATCGCGATGAACAATATCTTTACGATGCAAGTGCTCAATCCCACTAGCAATGTCTTTTGCCATTTTAACTTTAGCTAACCAATCCAAGTTATGAAAATTGTTATTTAAATAACATTGAAGGTCTCCATTACTTACGAATGGATAAACAATATAAAATATATTTTCAGGATCTAAATTTAATTAGATTAAATTTTTATATTAGATTTTTGCATCACTCGCACAAATAAGTATTTCCGTAATTGATCAACCGCATTTAAATACCTCGAGTGATTCCTAAGAACTGTATAATATTTTTATGATAACCGATCTTATAATTAGTTCTAACCTTAAAATAAATAGTTGATCGTAAGTTTTAGAATATTAATAGTACAATAGTTGACACGAATAAATAAATATGATTTATACTTCTCTAATGAATCCATCAAATGGGTTTTCAACATCATTAGAGACATTACTATTATATGTTTTTAAAGCTACAGCCTTTGTTGTAACTTCATATTTTAAATCAGCACTATATACGGGGCTAGCTCCACTTGTGGGAATAATTTTTTTATTCTCAAAAGAATCATATTCAAAGACTTTAAGGGATCCGTCATTTATAGAGGATTCAAACCAATCTTTTTTATCTTTTTTTAGAGATGACATAAATGCCTATGTCGTTATCACACTTAGAATTCACCTCTTAATAGAATACAAGGGACGAGTTGATTAGACAGAAACATTGGAGTCGATGATACAACTTAATAAAGAGGATTTACCAAGCTTTATAGAAAG